GGGTTAAGGTCAGGAGAGTTTGTTGGCCAATTAAGAACAGGGATACCATGGTCCTTCAACCAGGTACTGGTAGCTTTTGTTTTTGTTTTGTTTTTATTGGTCTTCAGTAATATTCTAATTTTCTGATATGCTGAATTTGAGATTTTCATTTGTTGTCATTTGTAATCATCAAAATTAAACGAAATAAACATTTGAAATATATGAGTTTGTATGTAATGTATGAATATAATATACAAGTTTCACTTTTTAAATGGAATTACTGAAATAAATCTACTTTTTCATGATATTCTAATTTTATGACCAGCACCTGTAAGTACAGGCCATTTACCATTTACTAAAGAAACCACTAAGTTAACCACCATCCTGCCAGCCTGGTTACTTGCCACTCCCTGATGAAGAAAAACCTGTTTGGACAGGATGTCTGAAAAGAACACCTGGTCCTGCCAGGATCCAAACTTCATGGAATTTTGCCAAACCCTTCCAGTGCATACCACCATAAATCTGACAGGAAGAAATGTTACCTAAATAAATCTTCTAAGCAGCAGCTTACTCATTTCCTTAAGACAAACTGATTCTCTGATTTTTTTACATGGCTTTTTTTGACACGTCTCGTTTTTCCACAAAAAACATTTAGTACTTTTATCCATTTCTGTGTGAACTTTATCAACACTGATGCCCCAAATTTTGAGAAATYCATTACAAAACATGAAGACAGTGCTGGCCATAACAGTACAGAGCATTAGTTTTAGCAATTAATTTGATGGCTCTTAGTGTATTTGCAGTGTCACAAAKTGAGGCCATTCCATTTGTGATAAAGCTCTCACCATATGATCCAATCACAAGCACCTTTGACTTAGGTTTCAGCACAGAGGGGGCTTTGAAGGAGGGAGGTTGCTCTCCTGTGAATAAAACATAAAATATAATTTACAATACAGAAAATAATAGTTGGAGATMAACAGCCCTCACACCTATACCATTCTGGTCTGTTATGATTATGTGGGTGCCCCTACTTCACACCCAGACTCACCCCGGGTGGGTTAAATATATTAACATTCATATYTGTTTAATAAAGAACACTCATCACTCACATGAGCTTTTGTTTAGACCTTGTCCACTTYGAAACAGTTTTACCATAATCACTTTTTTATGCCATTTCTAATAATATCTGTCTAAAAATATCAGTTGTACTGTTTTGTTTAACATTTTCATTTGTTTTTTTGTTTCTAACTTAATGAAATGTGTATTTATGTGGTTTCAAAATGCTTTTTCAGATTTCCTGTTACATAAACAATGTGTGTATGCAACAGGAAACCAAYCCACCATAAGAAAAACTTAACTAAATGCACCTCCCCTTTCCTGTTTGAAACATCACACAAGTGCCACTGTAAACTTCATAGTTATATTTAACATAAGAGCATTACTTAATAAAACCCTCAATACTGAATCATATTAATTTCAGGTAATATTGTTCAGCCACAGTTTTACACACTGTAGTTATAACAGTGCTTTATATTTGCATYWGATRACCAGGGTTGGTCTTATCAACTCTTTTACAAAAACCAGTCAGCTGATTATTGAGGATGATTCCAGTTCATGAAGAAGTAGAACTGGGAGCCAAACCCGTTGAGACCATCGTAATCAATTAATCATATCCAGACACTGTAACACAGAATCCCWTTTTAATCAAATGTCTTGCTGTGCCATCTCAGAAATGTCTCAGTCTGCAATGACTGAAGGCTTATTTTAAAAACCCTGCCACAAAAACAATAAACTTGTATGAGTAATATCTTTTATAAATGTTTTTCTACAAACTAATAAAAACATGCATTAGATTAATTTTAACTATTAAGCTGGTCTGATACTGACATATTGCTGATACTGCTGGTGACAGAAACAGCAGAGCCATCTTGAGCCATCACCATGAAAATACTGTATAAGGAGTGGAAGTTAAACATTYGCCAAAAAATAATTACTTAAGTAAAATAGATAACTACGGAAGTGGACATTTTCCYCACATATTTTTCCCATGGTTTTCTAAAGATAAGTTATATATGTTGTTATCACGCAATGAAATAAAGACTGTTTTCTCAAGATAACGAAAAAAATTTCCATTATCATAAGAAGACATTAATTGTTCTATCAACTAGATGATTATCTGTTCTTGAATGATGATGTTTAGTTTCTCAATGTTCTTTAAACCTTGCCAAGAACAAATTCTAATTCCAAAGCACTGCTGAAATGCCAGAGAGGAGAATAGGGCCTACCTGCCACCATTTCCATGGGGCGGGGAGAAAAACCCAGRWGKTCASGTTTCATGTTTGAAGGTGCAGTGTCTCTAGATTTTCACCTCACCTATAAAACATTAGATAGGATCAGTTATCTCTCATAACTTCAGCTTTAGCAGATGCATGAAGGTGTTTTGATACCAGAGCTGTCCATCACTGTGAATATGGCGCCTCCTCCAATCCCCGCGCTCTGCGGGTTTATCACCGAGGTGCAGAGAAGCGCAGCGATGGCGCCATCTACAGCAGAGCCTCCTTGTTGGAGGATGTCCCTGGAAAAAAAAAAAAAAGTCACACTCATCACTTTCATCAGTGTCAGATGTTTGGTCAAGATACATTTTGAGTTTCTGTTTCTCTGATTGGCGGGTGTTTGCACGGAGGCAGCTTCCTTGTCAGTCAGAACTATAAAAAGTTTATAAAAGTTGCAAGACTTAATGACATTACAAACAGAATTATTTTGGGCATTCGTTCAAGC